TTGTAATCATCAAATTTAGTTAGCTCACTTCCTAATTTATAGAAGTACTAACTCCAAAAATTCTGGAATCCTTTCCCTCCTTTGTTTTCCTTAATAAAATGCAGTTACTTAAATACTTTCGGTCACCTTGAACATTACTGTTCTTCAGGATATGTCATTTTTCACCTAAGTCCCTTTGCTTAATCTCATGTCCAAGTCCCTTTGCTTATTCTCATGTCCGGTTGGTAACTTCATTCTGAATATTCTTCTTCCTAAATTGGCTATCTCTTCTCCATTGCTCTCCCTCAGTTTTAATTTTCAAATTTACCATTTTCCCCTTTTCTGGATTCCCTGCTAGAATTTTCATCTTCCATCATGCTGATAGCTATATTGACATTTCTTTTTGTTTCTTCAAGTTTATTTATTTATTTTGAGAGAGAGAGCATGTGCAAACAGGGGAGGGACAGAGAGAAGGAGAGAGAATCCAGAGCAGGCTCTGCATTGTCAGTGCAGAGCCCAATACAGGGTTTGAACTTAACATACCTTGAGATCAGGACCTGAGCTGAAGTCAAGAATCAGATCTTTGAGCAGTTGAGCCATGCATGCTCCCCTATATTTACATTTCTAAAATACATATTTTGCCCTCCTCCACAATTTCAGTCTAATCTTTGGTGTCCAAAATGTGCTCTGTGGCTATCTAGAGGTCAGGTCCAATACATTAGAATTTTTAGATCTGTTCATTTTATTTCATACATTTTTTATTAATTTATAAAAATAAAAACTTTATTGTGGAGGCCATACTTCATGATGGGGTAAAAATGAAAAAGCTCACTCTTCTGTGGAATCAACTACAAGCTCATTAAAAGCTAACACAGTTCATGATATTATGTATTGAGCACAATCCAAATGAGTTACATGTATTTTTTCTAATCCTTAATGGCTATCTTTTATTGGATGTCTGTTATAATCCAAACACTGAAATAGACACATTTTATTCAAATTATCCTTTGTTTATATAAAATGGATTTGTTTGAATCTATTTCCGTATTTTTTAAAGGAGGTCATTTAAGATGGTTTCTAAATGCAAATTGAAGAAATATTTCCTATCTTTTATTAAATATTGAATATAAGTTGGGCTTTATTTTCAGAGTAACTGAACTACAAAGCTAATATAAAAATAATACAGCTTACATTATTTGAAATTACTCACTAGTTTTTCCTGTGAAATATTATCCTGGTAGCATCACTGCCTAATGATATTATGGTTGTAATTGTGTGCAATGCTATGAATGGCTCCATCATAATTCCTGGATTTCTAGGGTTCTTGGATCAAGAATGTAAAAGATGTCATGTGAGATGATCATGATTCCTCATTTCAACTCTTAAACACATGAAATTGTGTGTGCGTGTGTGTGTGTGTGTGTGTGTGTGTGTGCGTGCATGTGTGCGTGCTCAGAATGTCCTTTGACCTGCTACTTTGGACAGAATTTTAACAGTGTCTTTATAAGTGAAAAACTAAGGCATAGACCATTACCTTTTGAGTCCAAATTATAGCTTCTGATTCAAACGTATCCACATTTGATATTTATATTAATCACTTTCCTAATAAAATCCAAAGCATTTTGTATTTAGAGTATATAGAAGCAAATTGACCTCGTAGAGATTTTTCTTTTCTTTCTTTCTTTTTTTGCTTCTATTTTTATTTATTTAAATTTTCTGGAGACAGAAATGCAACTATCAAGTCATTTTCTCTTACAAAATATAAATGCACAATAATTAGGGACCCAGAGAATTCTGAGAAGCACAGGATTAGCCATGCAGTAATGCGAGCTCACATCTGCAGCTAGTCTAAAAATGTCACATAGACCTAATTCTGCTTCAACGCAAATGAAATTTGTTTCTTAGCATTTCAACATGGAAATAAATTGGTGACTGTGTTTGTTTAAACCCATTTACTACTTAATTTTTATTGTATCTTTTTTTGACTATGCTACTGGGAAAATAATGCACCTGTACAGGTGTATACTACTATAAATTTGTGACTTAACAGCTATAAAAGTATTTCAGTGTTGCCTAGTGATCCTTCTGTGTTTTTCCTAATAAACATTCTCTCACATTTTCCTGTTTACTTCAGGTCATGTCCATTCCCCTCTTTCTTTGAAACTCACCATTTCCTTGATTGTCTCCTAGTTGATAAAGAAAATAGAAGATCCCACAAAATAAATTCCTCAACTTTCTGCCACCAAAGTCACAGTCTTAATAATCTATAATAAACTTCTTCCTTTTCTTCTACTCTGTACTGTATTTATTGCCACATATTTTCTTCTATATGGCCTTATTATCTCCCTTTGTATACTTCTCTCATGATTTAAACAAGATCAAGTCTTTTTCATTTTAAAACAACATTCCAACAACTTCATACATATTGAAATATAAATATAAATATAAACATATGATTAACGTAATCAGATTTTGAACATCAGCCTAGCTTTCTCTTGTGCTTTTGTCTGTATACCAAAAATCTGGATACTTTTATAAGAAAATCACTCCACTTCAAATCTGGTATATGCTTAAGTGATTGTGACATACCCCTTCCCCTTGCCATCTTGTTTCTATACCTGGTTCTCCTGGATTCTTTCTCCTTAGTTAGGTCAACAGCCTTCAAGATTTTATAATTCTCCCATTTAAATATTTCTAGACTCTACCAGTATTATTATATTTCTACTGCCTCTGTATCAATCAAACCATCATAGTCATTTCACTAGATTAGTGCTGCTGACCCCTCCACAAATGTCTTAACTCTCCCAATTGTGTCCACCAAGCCATTCCTCACCCTGACATCATTAAAATAAAGTTTCCTCTTACTAATCTCCCACATAAAATCTTCAACAGGCTCTCCATTCCCCTCAGATAAAATTTGAGCCTTTTACTGAGGATGCATGCCCCATCTTGATGTGATCTCTCTCTAAATCAGGGGCTTATATTTTATCATGATTTATTTTTTCTCTACACTTTAGAAGTTCAACTTCTCCTATTCAGAAGTATCCAATGTCACACTCTTCTCAAATCTTTAGAGAGAGATTTTTTCCGAGGATACTCATCCCTTGACAGTTTCCCCAGATGACTCCATTTTATTGTTCAAGCTTATTCTTGTGTCCTATTAATATCCCTACTACATATTCTCATAATGCTCTAGACTATTTGTTTCATAATTGATCATGTTGATTGCCTAATAATTCTGTTTCCTTTATTAAATTCTCAGTTTTTTACATTGATACTTCATTTCACTTGGTTACTGAAGAATTCCCAGTACCTAGCATATTGCCTTGCATGTAGATTGGGATCATATCTATTTGTTCAAAGTAGTCTTTAAATCTTAGCAAGATTACTAATTTATATTCAGAAGTTATGACTAACATTTGAAATGAACATGATCATACATAACTTTTAATTCTAGGAAAGTTACAATTTTACATTTCCATATGCATATTTTATGGTAATATATTACTTATGAATTTATATTTTATAGATTTATAATACAACTGAATTTTCAAAGAGGAAATTTACAACTCAAATTTAATTTCTATATGATCTAGAATGGCCATTAAGAAATTGGACTTAATATAAATATTTGATATGAATTAACAAATTAATTGTGTCACATAATGGCATAAGTCATTTAACAACAAACTGACAGTCAAGATATAGTAAAACATGGCAGGATTTTGAATGACTTGTAAATTCTTATATAATCTAACTCAATCTTCAGTACTACTATGTTAATTTAATACAACTATGTTAATTTCATTAAATGAATATATTTAATACATTCTTATCTAAGAATGTATTAAATAAGAGTGAAAGGAATTAAATATAAGAGTGAAAGGAAATAAAACCCATGTGGCCTTAAAATGTAGACTGGAAAAATAGCATCACTGACATCAAAAGAGCATGTTTTTCCATTACACCTTTTCAGAATTTAACTTTTGTTGCGATCTTTACAGTTTTTTTTTTAATTAATTAAATACTAGAGTGATTTACACAAAGAAAACCCTCAATGAGTTGTAGTTACTATTTTTTTAATTGGGTCAATATATTAAATCTCAAAGATTGCTATTTTTTTGTTTTGTGGGTGGTGGTAATATATATATATATTTTTTTGCCTCTGGGAGTAATGATGCCTTACCCACAGGGTTAATCCCTTATTCTCCCCTTTCATACCAGTGGTGAGTGATGAAAGAGAAGTCATTGCATAATACCTGTACTTACCATCCTTTTATTATTCCATTTTATACTTCCTTTTCCCTCTTGGCCTACTATATTCCCACAATTCTGCAGAAGTTGGGTGAAGTCTCATTCTGAGTTTATTTATTTACATGATGGAATTTTCTAGAATCTCTTGTATATCTGGGAGTTCTCACCTCCTGGATTAGAAGATCATGGTTATATTTATATGAAAATACTATATGAACATTATATTTAAATCATTTTTTCTTGCTTTATGGATGGTGTTTTTAAAGCATTTTCTAAACCTAATCAGAGAGCAATACTTATATCTGAAGAAAATTAAAACCATCTATAAAGGAACTTGCTTATTGTTGTATTTTAGTTTTGTTGAAGCTTGGTGAAAAGAGCATACAAAAGATTGCAGTAAATTGCTGGTATAATTATATAACAATGTGCAGTATATTTTCACCACATTTTTTCTGGCCTTGTTTCACAAAGAAGGTGCATAGGTGGTGGCAGTATAGTCTTTGCAGGAACCAGCTTAGAATTGTCTATATAATTAAGTAACTTCACTAACAATGTATGTTTTTATGTTTAAAGGGATATTTAAATCAGTTGAACTCTACTGTTTCTTGATCAAAATCCACTTGCATTTGGAAATAGAAAAAAAGCCAGTTCCTGGGAATCCTTGAACAAAATCTCTGCTTGCAAATTTTCAGCAACACTAAAAGCCCATTTTGCAGCAATTCTTTATGACACTTTTCATGAGAGACTGTAAAATACAATTTCCCCAAATGATTAACAAATCAATTATGCTTCTGAGCCTGGTGGTTCTTCATAGCACATTTATAAATGGAAAAACAACATGTAAATGGCAATTTGTGGAAGAATGGCATACACAACCATTATCATATATGGTGAATTGGACACTAACAGAAAACATCTGCATGGACTTCTATGGAGATTGCTGGTTTGGGGATGTAAATACTAAAATGAACACTTCAGGCAATCAAGTTGTTCCCCAGATTTGCCCTTTGCAAATTCAATTGGGAGACATCCTTATAATTTCTTCTGAACCATCTCTTGAATCTCCAGAAATAAATTTGATGAATGTTTCTGAAGCATCATTCATTGACTGTCTGCAAAACACCACAACTGAAGATCAGTTACTTTTTGGTTGCAAACTAAAAGGAATGCACACTGTTAATTCTCAGTGGCTGAGTGCTGGAACACATTATTTTATCACAGTAACAGCAAGTGGTCCATCGTTTTGTCACCTGGGGCTACGGCTAAATGTGACAGTGAAAGAACAGTTCTGCCAGGAATCTCTGAGTTCAGAATTTTGTTCTGGGCATGGTAAATGTCTTACTGAGGTTTGGAGCAAGACATACAGCTGCCATTGTCAGCCTCCATTTTCTGGAAAATATTGCCAAGAACTTGATCCATGTTCTTATAAACCATGTGAAAATAATGGCAGTTGCATTAATAAAAGAGGAAAATTGAATAAGCAAGGTTATGAATGTATCTGTCACCCACCATTTACAGGTAAGATTTTTTTTAAGTAACGTAATTCTGTTAAAAAAGGAAAATAAAATGAATTCATATATTGCTACTTTCCAAAAAACAAACTACACTTCTAAAAATTTTGTAGATTTTTTAGAATGGGCTAAATTTGGATTCTGGACACAAAATTCCCATTAGGCATTCTGTAATTTTTTTTCTTATGTAAATAAGAGGTTTTTTTATTGTTTTGTTTTTTAAAATTTTATTTTACAGAGAGATAGAGCATGCAAGCAGGGGAGAGGAGCAGAGGGAAAGAGAGAATCCCAAGCTGGCTCCATGCTCAGCCCATAGCCCAAGGTGGGGCTCAATCCCATGACCCTGGGATCATGACCTGAGCCAAAATCAAGAGTCAGATGTTTAACCGACTGAGGCACCCAGGTGCCCCTAAGATTTTTTTAAAAGCACATATGTTTTACCCTGAAATACCTACTTTCACATCTTTCCCCAAATTCCCTCTTAATGTCTCATGTAATTAAAAAAAAACCAAAACATTGGAATAATATTAGCTGTAGAATGAAATTCCCAAGTTTATGGTATTTAAGTTAAACAGTTCTAGGTAATAATGTAGTAATTAAGTGTGGATCTGAGTGGAAAGAGGTAAGGAGGTATGTGCTTGGGTAGAAGCCATGAAGTAGCTTGGCAGAACTGAAAAAGAGAAGATAATTGTAAGCCCAGAGCAATGTGTTTAATGGATGTTGATATGGCACTTATAAAGTGATTGGTAGATAATATTGGAAAGGAAGGAAAGAACTTGATATAATTAATAAAATTGGTTACAGTAAGGTAAATGAGAGGCAATGGTGAGGAAAGGTTATAAAAAAAGAAGGCATTTGGTGAATAGATGAAACCAGAAGGGCAATCTAAAAAAAAAATGTAAATTATACTACCTGAAACTGAAGTTAGGATTAAAGGGAAAATCACTGTCACCACTTGAAAGTTTACTAGGGAATCTGCATCATCAGAGGAAAATAAAAAGAAATACTGAGAAATGTAGGGGAATTTTAAACTACAGGGATTAATGAATTTGTTTTAGTGGGAGTTTCCGAGACCTGGCATAGAGAGTTACAAGGTTAGTGGGTAAGATGAGGAAGATCTAACAAAGGGAATTGCTTGATGTAGTTTCCCAATGATAATATGGGAAAACAAATAACATGTTGGTAGTATATTTTGCTCAAGAGAAAGGAAAGAGGGCTGGATAGATATTGACTAGAGCAGATGAGGCTCAAGTATATAACTGTAATTTGGGGGGACAGGGTTTAGGGGACTTCAACAAGGTTTTTCTTGCATGTTGCTGTCAAGACTCCATTGGAGCCAAGTTTGAGAAGGCTGTATAATAAAATGTAATGGAATATCTCAATAAATCTTTGTAGGCTCTAAAGTTCACCTAAGCCAATCTTTCAGAGTAATTTTAAACTGTATAGTAAGGAAGTACCAAGACCATTTTATTTTTTTTTTAAATTTTTTTAATGTTTATTTATTTTTGAGAGTGAGGGAGACACAGAGCATGAGTGGGAGAGGGGCAGAGAGAGAGAGAGGGAGACACAGAATTCAAAGCAGGCTCCAGGCTCCAAGCTGTCAGCCCAGAGCCTGACATGGGGCTTGAACTCACGAACCGTGAGATCATGACCTGAGCTGAAGTTGGACGCTTCACCGACTGAGCCACCCAGGGGCCCCAAGACCATTTTAAAAGTAAATCCCAGCAATATCCATTGAACATCCTCTCTCTATAACTGGGATCAAATTCCCATTTGACTCTTATTGGCATCGGTGAACAAAGATGTAAGTAACTTTGACTCTCTCTAGAGTTTATCAGGTAATTAAAATTAAGACAGGTCAGCAAAAAAGAGAAAGCACTCAAGTTGCTGATTTGAGGTGAATGAAACAGCAATTTTAGAGCTCCTAAAGCATCCATTTTAGTTTGTCCAAAGAATTTTAAAGTATATTTGGCCAGAAAATTTCTACCATCTATCAGAATATTAATTGGCACATGTTTAATCATATACCATGGAATTCTATTTCAGTGGTTTTGTCTTAGTTGCATAGAGTGCTTTGTTTCTACCCAATGTTTGTTTAATAGAAACACAGACATAGATCATTTAAACCATTAAATGTTAAACACCATAATATTGAGCATATACCATAATGACACTTTAATTTTAATTGCTTCAATTTTAAATCTCAGATGTTATAGAAATATGTAGAATTACCAAATAAATTGAGAATGTTAACTGTATTAATTTGCTAGTGATGCCATAATAAAGTACCATAGTTTGAGTGGCTTCAACAACAGAAATTTACTTTCTCCCATTCTAGAGGCTAAATGTTAGAGATCATGTCAGCAAGATTGGTTTCTTCTGAGGCCTCTCTGATTGGTTTGTAGACAGCCATGTTCTCCCTGTGTCTTTCCTTTGTATCTGTCTGTATGATCCAAAATTTTTCTTCTGATAAGGACATGAGCCACATTTGATTAGGACCCACCTTAATGACCTCATTTAATTTTTTATTACCTTTCTAAAGATCTTGTCTCCAAATACAGTCACACTATGAGGACCTGGAGGTCAGGATTTCAACATATGAATTTTGACGGCTCACTGTTTGGCCCCTTACACTGATTGAAATAGATTATGACCTATTGAACATTCTATTGTTAATTTAGTTTTTGTACATGGAAATATTTAGCACATAATTATATTTACTTAAATTTTCATTGTGTTGGGGGTTGTTTGGAGGTAAATGAAGGAAGAAGAGTTCTGTATTAGTGAGTCAGAGCTGTCAGTCTATAAAGAATTTGAAAGGAATCAATGATAATGCCAAAAACTGCTTACAAATTAAATTAAAAATTCACTTAGAATGGAGGGGTGACTAATCTATTGAAAATTATGTACAACAGTTTTATAGTAACATGTGTCCATTTGCCATTGAATGTCCTGGGCATATTCTACAAAGGATATTATGAGCCAATTAACTGCATGGAAAAGTATTGTAAACAAGGTTATGGTATACGATATTGTAGGATCACAAAAGTAGGTATAAGTGAGATTTAGAAACTTGACAGAACAGCAAGGGCAGGAAAATGTAGAGTTTAGAAGTTCGTGCCTAACTTCTAAGAATCCAACAGCCTTTTCTTTATTTCCCCATAATTTAAGATTTTATTTTATTTTATTTTATTTTTTATTTTATTATGAAAAGAACACTTAATATGACATCTACCCCCTTAACAAATTTTTAAGTGTATGATATATTAATGTTGACAGTAGGTACAATGTTGTACAGCAGATCTCTAGAGCTTATTCAACGTGCTTGACTGAAAGTTTATGCCTTGGTTCCTCTTCAGATAGTGTCAATCTTTTACATTTTCCTCTTTGGAATTATCACCTTGGCTAAGTTATAGGGCTAAGACAGTATACTTTTGAATGTATCACTTTGTAAATTACCACTGCAGTGCTACCACTGTATGTTGAAGAACATATATTATTATTATATACTGTCAAAACATGATTAACAAATTCAAATGATCATGAAAATAACTAAATCTCAAATATCAAGAATCAGAAAAATATTTGAATATATAGTGGGGGTCAGAAGATGGAAAACCTTATGTCAAATTTATTGAAATTAATTTTTGTTGCAATTTTTTTAAGTAGATATGATGCCCAGTGCAGAGCCCACTGAGGGCCCTAACCTACCAACGCAAAGTCAAGACTATGAGATCACGACCTGAGCCAACATCAGGAGTCAGACACTTAATCAACTGAGCAACTTTTGTTTCAATTTAAATACATCACTATGGCAGGGCCCCTCGTAGCTCAGTCTGTTGAGCATATGACTCTTTGATCTCACCTCAGGTCTTGACCTCAGGGTCTTGAGTCAAGCCCCATATTGGGTTCCACATGGGCTTGGAGCCTACTTAAAAAAAA